ATTTATATATACCATTTGCCCTGGCGCAGCTTGGCCTTGTTATCTGTGGTTTTGTTATTGATTAGTTTATTTATTTATATTGAACATCTTATATATATATATATATTTATTTATTTATATATACCATTTGCTATGATGCAGCTTGGCCTGTATGGCCCTTGCACCAATAAACTCTAACAAACAAACAAACAAACTTAGGAACCCTACTATACGTAATTTTGGAATCGGTAGTTTCAGCTTTTTTCGCTAGTTTGTCGGCCCTTTCATTTCCCTCATGACCTCCATGAGCTTTGATCCATTGAATAGTTAAGTTATTTGTGCCTGCTATTTTTTGGGCTAGCTGTATTGTCTCCTTAGCTAAAGTTGAGTTTTTTCTCTGGTTATTTAGAGTATGTAACTCCACCCTACTGTCTACATTTACTTCTATTGTTTCTTTGGAGTTGTTCATATTAGTTTCAATGTAGGCTAATGACCTGTTGACAGCCCACAACTCAGCTTGAGTTATGGTGCAGTGAGGAGCCATTTTTAGGCTCGCCTGATAGACATGTTTACCTTTATTGTTTGTGATGATGATGCCTGCTCCAACTCCAGTAGTTGTCTTGGAGCCATCAGTGTGGATGATCCAGTTTGAGCTTTTATTTTTAGTGTTTGTCATATCGAAGATAATTTTGTACTTGTTTTCATCTGTAGGGTGGATAAACTGTTTGTAGTTCTTTTCTTCTTCCTCTATGCTGTGCTTTTTGATGTTCTCTATCCATTGCTCACTATTGGGTGGAAGGATACCATTTTTGATATTTTGTTTTATTGTTTCTTCATTGAGGTCCTGCAGGTTGATGTTTGTTGTATACTATCTCCACACCACTTCCCTCGCTCTAAGGTGTATTGGGAGTAGGTTGGCCAAAACACAGAGAGCATCTGTCGGTGCTGTTCTATAAGCCCTACAGACTTTAATGGTTGTTCTCCGTTGGATCGATAAAATCTTCTTCCTTACGTGAACATTGTTTAGGGCTTCATGCCATATTTGGACTCTGTATAAAATACCTGGCTCCACTGAGGCTTGGTAAATTAGCCTATTGCTTCTAAAACTCAATCCCCATGCATTTCTTGAGATGTGTGACAAGAGGTTTGTTTTTTGAACCATTTTTTTGTACATGTTATTTATGTAATCGTGCCAGTTGATATTCCTATCAAAAATAATTCTTAAGTACTTCATTTGGTTAACGTTTTTAACTTTATAGCCATCTATGTATACCCCCAGTTGCCTTTTAAGTTGACCCTGTTTTTTCGTACACACCAGCAATTCGCATTATTTGTAATTTATGCACTGTTTATAGGATTTACTCCACTCTGATATTATTTTTAATTCCTTATTAGCCTCTTCTGTAAGTTTGTCACAGTTTTTATGTGCAACCATAAGTAGCACGTCATCTGCAAAGGCCTGGATCTTAGTATGCTCTTTTTCTTCATAATCATTAAGCATGCTGTCGAAGGCGAGGTTCCAGATCCCTGGGCCACTCCTTGAGCCCTGTGGGCATCCTCTGTTTATTTTTATCTCCACAGTTATGTTACTTGTGTAATAGCCGGCTATTCTATCAGTTAGATAACTTTGTAATGTTGCCTGTAAGTTTTTTGGGCATTTTACCTCATTTACGCATTCATTGAATCAAAATGCGAATGCGATAGGAATTTCACTGAATGCAGCTTTAATCATTTCTGGTGTTATTTTGTCTAGGCCTGGCGATTTTCGGTTGGCCAGGGTTTCAATTGCCTTTTGCGCTTTTCTGAAGGTGAATGGGACGTCGTCTGTTGTTGAGCTTATTTTATTTAGATTTTCTCTTATATCCTTGTGTTTGTCGTTATCTTCTTCTTTGTTGTTAGCCGGGAAATGAAATTTGAGGATGTTCCGGATGTTTTCAGTAATATTCGGATTGTTATCATTGTTCCATTCCAGGATGTTTGGGATTTGAGTTTTCTTATTGCGATTAAAAGCCACCTTATAAGGAATATCCCATGGGTCATTTTTGTGGGCTTTACTACAAAAAACTTTCCACGCCTACGTTCGTGTGTTGTTTATTAGCTTTTTGTAGGTTTTTAGTGTTGTTCTGTAAATTTCTTTCATTCTTTTTCCCTCTTTTTTGTTTCTCGATCTTTCCATTTTTTTCCTGATTTTTCTGACTATCTTTTTGTGTGCTGTCAGCTCGTTTGTCCACCAAACCGTTTTTTTAACCTTTGTTTCCTTAGTCCTGGCTGCTTGTTGGCCAGCCAAATGAATTGCTCTTGTTACATGATCCACATAGCTGTCTACGTCCTCTGTTGTTTCTAAAACAAGGTAACAAAGCCTGTTGTAAAGCCTGTTGAAAATTTTCATCCGAATAAATGTTAAAAAGTAAAGGTGATAAAATACATCGTTGCCTTACGCCGCTTTCTATTTCTTCGGAAAAATCGGAATCAATTGAAACGTTGGCCTTCTGTTCCCAGAAAAGATCTGTTATAATTCGCGAATCGTTTCTATCAATTACGCTCTTCCTAAGTATGTCTATTAACTTATCATGCAGAAATCTATCAAATGCTTCTTTTGTAGTCTATAAAACGGGCGTATGTATCCTTGTTAGCCTCTAAACTTCTTTCTACCGGAACTCTATAAGCGAAAAGAGCTTGTCTTGTTCCACAAGCTTTTCTAAACCCAAACCGAAAACTTCTTCACATGTTTTATGTGTTCTTGTATGGAATATTTTTACGAAAATTTTTAAAACGTGACTTATTAACAGGCTTACAGTTCTATAATCGACACACTATTTTTGAAATATCTTTTTTGGGAATTGCAAAAAACGTCGACACGAAAAAATATCGAGGAATTAAACCACTTTCGTGAAGAATGTAAAAATCCACTGAAATATCTAGACTATATACAACCGGTAATTTCAAAATGTCAGCGGGAACTTCATCTCGTCCAGCAGCTTCACCTTCTTCGGTTGTTCTATTTGCATTCTTTACTTCTACCTTTAGTAATAGTAAATTTACGTCTTCTGTTTGTTCCGGTAAGCTCTTTAATTTTCTTATGTACACTGTACGTATCATGGTTTGTTTGCACATTTTCAATTATCTCGCATTTTTCTTGCATCCCATTTTCTTTTGCTCGTTTAATTTTCCTTCTTGCAGTGATATGGAGTTGTATTTAAAAATATCATTATTTTTCCAATGTCTTCGTTCTTCCGTTAATTCAAATAATTCTTTTGACTTCCAGTCTTTATTTTGTTCGGTTTTCTCAGGTTTTAGAATTCGTTCCACTACATTGTTTACAGGTTTCCTCAAATTATTACGTAAATCTTCACTATTTATTTTATTTTCCTTCTTTTAATTTGCAAAATTTTTTCCTTATTTTTGAAAAACCTTCATTTATATCATCGTTTGTGTTTTCGTTTGTTTTGCAAAAGTTTTTCCTTAGTTTTGAAAAACCTTCATTTAAAACACCGTTAGTGTTTTCGTTTGTTTCGGAATCTCAAAGCCTCCCTACATCTGTATTTCTACTTTTTGTACAGAAACAGCATTATCTGTTACGTATTGTAAGAAGATTTCACCGAATGCTTTTCTTTACGAATAACGGAAATCCACACGACGGACGTCCGAAGTTAATTTTGCATCGACCGTTACTAATTATTACGTTATTGTCTCGTTCTAGATGTTTAATTTCCATTTCGGTACATTTTATGATCCGGGTTTCTAAAAATCAAATGATTTCGTTTCACCTCAGAAATGTTATCGAGGTTTCGAACAACATTACTCGTAAACCTTGGATATTGCAAAAACTTATCGTCACGTTTTTCTTCAGGAATTTCGACCTTTTTCTCATTCGAGTCTTTATCTCTAACTATCCACTTATCTCCACTCGTTTTTACATTTGTGAAGATAGCGTTCGGTTAGAATTACCAAACAATTCTATGCAGATATATACTTTTTTCGTCCGAACACGATCAAACGTCAAGAACGAGAGTTAAATGCTATTTCGATTTTTTAAAATCATTCGTCTGTTCGTATTAAAAATTAGCAGTGAAGACAAGTCTTTGTGATGTTTTTTTGTGAGAGTAGCCTTCACGTCATTTTATAAACAAGTTTATTGTAGATGTTTAAAAATTTTTGTCTGGACACGATGAAATGTAGGAAAAAAATGTAAGCGGTATTTCAACTGTTTCAAGTTAATCCTTCGTTACTGAAGAAATTATCGGTAGAAAATAGACACGTAAAAATATACTTAAATAGTAAAAATTTCATGTATATATGTAAATTTTTCCTCTCGGCTCGATCAAACGTCGAGAACGATATTTAAACTATAGTTTAATTCTTTGCAGTTATTCTTTCATTACTGAATAGTTATCAGTAGTTAAAACACTTTTTGACGTTCGAAGTGAGGTCGGGCCAGAAAAATGTAATTGTGCGCGTGTGTCTCACCGGCGTAAATATTCGTCCGAAACGTTTCGGCCGACTCCGACGAGATTGGACGTAACTAATTCCTCCGCCCGAGCAAAGAACGAATCGAACCGTCGCAACGATTCTATCGACGTAAAGTAATTATATTCCGACGCGTACGTAGAGCGATCGCTAACTCTCGGCGTAACGAGAAAATTATTACTTTTGCCCGTCCCGTCGTCGGCGAACGGCCAACAGAGTCCGACTTGCATCGCGTACCGTACAAGCGAAGCGCGATTGTCGCGTAAGCGTAAAGAAAAAGACATCGAGACATCGAAATTGCCGGACAAATGTTTTATTTATCAAAGAAAAGAAACTTTATTTTCGTCGAACAGTGCTTTTGTTTTTTTTTTTTTTTCGTCTTTGTCGATGCACGTTGGTAGCGGCTGTCGATTGCGGCCAAGACTATTCGGTGTCTCCCTCTTCCTTGGCATCGTTTCTGCTTCGCACCTGTCGAAGAAAAGAAAAAAAATAGAGTCGGTACGTTTGGCGCGCGCGCACGCACGGACTGTCGGCCGTCGGCCGTTACCCGGGCGCGAAGCTCGGCAACCTCCTGCCGCACCTCGTCCATCATCAGTATAGTGGCCGCCAGGCGGAGGTTAAGGTCGTTAATTTCGCGCGCGTCGTCGGCGGAAATGTGTCTTCTCAGGAACCTGGGGAGAAGAGACGAAGACGGTGACCGACGGAGCCTGTGTGAAACGTACCTACCCGATGTCGGTCGTGGTTCGTGCGCTGTCGGCGGACTTACGTGAGCGGGTCGGTGGGTCGAGGATCCTGCGAGTACAGGCTGGATAAGGCTGCAAAAAAAGGAATACGACGATCGCTCGTTAAAGCAACGTGTTTCGACGTACTTACGCAATTCCTGTCGCTCTGGACGCAGCGGATACCCACCTGCGTGGAAGACCTGCAGAACGCCAGCTATTTATTTAGCTTTAAAATATATAAATAGGAAAGGTCATCGTTGCTGTGTGATTTACACTGACTTAGTTAGTGCACTTCAGGCTTTGATCTCGTGCGAACCTAGTTTTCACTCTATAGTGATTAAAATTTATAATTTTATTTGCCATCTTCTTACGAGGAATCTCTTTATAAAATTTTGTTGGGTACCTGGACACGTCAGCATAAGAGGGAACGAAGAAGCTGATGCAGCTGCAAAGGCTGCTAGTCCTTCACAGCATGAAATGTGTTTTGAAGGAAGTGATTTGAAGCTAGTAGTTAAAAAACGACTAGCAGAGCGATGGCAAAACGTGTGGAATGCACAAATCCACAATAAACTACATGAGATCAAGCCGAATATAGAAAATTGGACACGTAACAAACGTTATGACAGGAGATCTGAAGTAATTCTTAGTCGTTTGAGAATTGGGCATACTCGGTTGACTCATCAATACCTTTTGAAGGGTGAAGACCAGCCACCATGCCAATATTGTAACTATACTGTAAGTGTTAAACACATACTTTACAACTGCATTGCCTCTGAGAGGATACGTAGACAGCATTTTGAAAATGCATGTTTTAAAGAGATTTTGGGCCAGAGGCCAAATCTTCATAAGTTATTGAACTTTCTGAAAGTCACTAATTATTATAAACAAATTTGATTATTTATTTATTTATTTATATGTGTTTATTATATACATGTGTACCGTTATATATTTTTGTTATTGGTTTTGTTATTTATTATTTTATTTATTTATTTAATATTTTGGATTATCTATTCATTTATTTTTATTAGATTATATTTTTTTACCATATGACATGGCGCAGCTTGGTCTATGTGGCCATTGCGCCGCCAATAAACCCTAATGTAACTAACTAACTAACTAACCAAAGTAAATCAAGTAGACCACTTTCTTCGGTAAGAACCTTGTAGCTGACTTTACCTCCCCATGCCTTAGATATAAATCTCACACAGCCTTTAGGAGCTATGGCAACAAAAAATTTAATAGTATTGTTCTTTATTTACTAAATAACACAAGACTGTGTTATTATTAAAACAATTGGCGTTTATCCACTTTATTCAGTTGATACGGGCACTTTTACACATTTCGGGCGTATAGCCTTTCATCAGTCAACCGATAAGAAGAAACATGTACATTAGATTATTACATTTTGTAAAAATTATATAATGTACAGCACAAGTTATTATTCACTGCTGTTAGGATAAGTTGATAACTCTGATATCATAAACCTACATACATTAAATTAAAAAATAAAACGCTGTATAATTATACATGCTTATACTGATAACACACAGAACTATACTAATTTTTGTTAACTATCGTTTCTTACTGTTAAGTAGGCGTGACACATCCTTTATCTTCTTACTAAAGTTGATAAATATATAGGCAGAATCCTTTCTAATGATTAATGAATATATTTGGTTGGTTTCTCACAGCCTTTCATTTGCACATAACAGAATCAGGTAAACCTCACTTAGCATATTCACATAATAGGCAGTATGATGGGAGATCTGAGGTTGTCCTTACTCGTTTGAGAATTGGACACACTCAACTGCCTCACCAATATCTTTTCAAGGGAGATGACGAACCAGTATGTCAGTACTGCAACTGTACTGTAAGTGTTAAACACATATTTTGCAACTGTGTTGCTTTTGACCAAAGTCGTAGACAGCATTTCGGAAATGCAAGCTCTAGAGAGATTTTGGGTCAGAGGCCAAATCTGCACAATATAGTGGACTTTCTGAAAGCCAATAATATGTATATAGAGATTTGATCACTTATTTATTTATTTTACAATTTCATTTACCTTGTTTTGTCTATTCATATTGTATATATTTTTTGTTGTTGTTCATATATTTATTTAATTTTGTGATATATTTCTTATGTTATTAATTAATAGGTATAAAGAGATTTGTATGTATTTTATTATATGTATTTATTATACAGTTTTATTTAAATTATTATATATATTTTCTGTTGTATGTTTATTTATTTACTTGTTTATTTAATTTTGTAATATGAAAATTTTTCACCTTTTGCTTTGGCGCAGCTTAGCCTATATGGCTCTTGCGCCAAAAAACCAAAACAAACAAACAAACAAACACTTCGCATATTATAACAAACTTGTTTTCTGGACATTACACAATATTGAGTCTTATTGCTAATTTGCATTATACCATTTATGATGATCGGATTTTACATAATATTTGTAATAGCCAAAGATATCTAAACAAACAGAACACATTAAAATATTTTTCAAAAATTTTTAGAATTTTTCTAAAACACACTAACTATATTTCATTATTACAATATTTTTAGCCAATCTTTACTTATTTTAATGCTTAGATTCTTGTTTAAACAAGTTTTAGAGTTTATTATAGCTACACTTTCTTTAAATTTCCTACTATATGTGTTCTTTTCTTTATATAAGATTTTTGTATTAGTTTTATCTATGTTACAGTTGTTTAATAGGCAATGATCATGAAAAACTGAATTTAATCTGTGATATTTCATATCAGCAATGTGTTCTTTTAATCTTATGTTTAATTTTCGTTTGGTTTCACCCATATAAATATTAGTATCTTTACAAGTACATGGGATTTCATATACTACGTTCTTGGTTTCTTCTTTAGTCTCATTACTTTGTTTTTTGGCTTTTATTCTGGCTTGAAGTTTTTCGTACTTAGGTGCTAGTTTTATGTTTATTTTCTGCATTTCTTTGTTAATTTCTTCATATAAACCTTTTATATACGGAAAACTAATATATTTAATATCCGGGCTTTGTTTTTTCTGATTATGTTTCTTGTTATTTATTTTATCATTTATTTTCTTTTCCCATGTACTAATTAATCGATTGGGGTATCCATCCAAGATAAATTTCTTTTTTAAATCATATATGTGTTTTGTCATATCAGTATTGTTCTTGTAGTTGGAGTAAGTCTGGCACCTGGCTACCAAATTACTGGGTTTTTCAATAAAAACTACACTAGATAATACATCTTATTCTTTTAAAGTCTGGAGGCTTGTAGCAAGAAAGCAAGCACTTTCTGATTTCTAGTCTGGACAGACACTTAATGAAAAATTTTAAACTATAATGCAAAACTTCTAACCATTCATGAAAGATTTTGCTGACCATTGAAGATGGTATTTGAAAGCATACAGCAAGGTCTTTAGTAAATGCCCCTAATCTAAACTTCATTAGTACTAACAAAAACTGTGCTGATAAACTCAACTGGGTTGATGAAGTTGGTTTCCAGAAATGTTTCAAATAAGCAATAACACACTCAAAAATATCAACATTACTTATTCCTGAATAAAAATTTAACAGCTTATCATCTGCTAAAATGAAATCTGTATCGCTCATACTCACTGTCTTCCAAAAGTAGTTCGCTAGTAATGTCTGGGTGTCCAATTTCAACTGCAATTCAGCATTTTCTTTTGACTACCAACTCACAGTATAACTTCTTTGGTATGGTAACTTGTTCAACAGCACATGCTTGAGATTGCACTGATTCAGCCACTACAGCAATTTCATGGTTGTCGTTAGAAGTGTCTGTAAAAAGAAATGAAAGAACATCTCATAAAATTAAATTTATGCTAATTATAATATTATTCAAACTAGTGTGAGAACTAAATTATACTAGTTTAAGTGAATAGTTGTTGACGTACAGAAGTTAAGCAACAGCTGAAATTAACACTTGTTCTACTTGCTCACATACAAAAAAAAATTAAAATGCTGGTAAGTTCTCAAAATATCAGATTCATTAACCATGCTGTTATAACCATATTACTAAACTAGTTGTGGAAGTTACTAACTTCATGGCTTTGAGAATGGTACTAAAAAGTTAAGCCTTGATTAACATTAATTTATAAATGCTTTGAGGATAATGGATAGCCGCACGTGTGTTTAACCAAATATGACCATCCATCACCCATTCGTTTCGATCATCACTAAAGCCTGGTACCCACATGCGGCAACAGTCGACGGAACGACAAAATGACGTCACTTTTGTTGTCAACATTGACAGAATACGAAGTAGAAAATTTTCAACTTTTGTTATGACGGAAAGCAGCACGGTAAAAATTAGACCAATAGGAAGACCGTTTAGCAATATCATCATAGAGATCAGATGGCCATTCAAACTATGGCGGCCAGCATGAAGAGAAAGCGTGTCATGTTTAATAACGAGTATTTTATTGAAACAATTAAAAAATATCCATGTCTTTCTGACAAAAAATGTACGGACTTTAAAGATACAACATTAAAAAAACCAATATGGACTGCAATTGGTGAGCAGTTTGAAATTAGCAGTGAGTACTGATTTAACATTAGTTCGAAACTATAACACGTTTTATAATTGTTATATTTTAAATTTACTAATGTAATTACTAATTTTATTAAATTTACCAAATGTTGTTAGGCGACGATGCCGAAAAAAGGAGGATAAACCTTGAGATAGATACACAAAGAAGAGGAAAATGCCTGAGAGCCACGGACTTCGGAAGTATACCTCACAAACTGGAGTTTATTTAAGTACATTGATGGATTTCTCTTGATCAGTTTTACTACAGGCAGACAGGTACAATGATTATAAGTCATAATTAAACACGTACACTGAACCAATATAATGTGTGGTACGATCGACGAAACAAAAAACAAATGTTTTCGAACCTCTTCTAGGTTCGAAAACGTTTGTTTGTCATAATTAATTAATAATTTATTTAAGATGATGATAAAACTGATAATAGTAGTAGTTTGCAATGGGTAGTATTCTAATTTCTTAGTTAAAACATATAATTGAATAATCAGTTTTTTTTAGAATATTAAAATAGTCCATTACTTAAAAAATTATGAAATAAAATTTTAGTGTAGTAATCATTTATCAAGAAATAATGATGGCAATTTATTTTAACAGCACAATAGGAAATGAACCAATCAGCCAACAGATTGAGAGTGCAGATATCAACATTTCTGATACATTTCACAAAAAGATTCTGTTGTAAGTGAAATTGTACAATATTTTAAATTTATAACAAAGAATTGAAATAGATAATAACAACTGCTGTTATTATTATAGAGATGAGACATCTGAGATGCCTGAAAGCCCCTGTAAGAAAAAACAGAAAACATCGAAAAAAAAGTGAAGACATGTTGGATGTTGCATTGAAAACTTTCAATGAAACATCCAAACTCCTTACTGAAACTAAACAAGAAGACAGAATAGACTTATTTTATAAAAGTCCAAATGTCAGACTTTAGGATTTAAATAAAAAAGACAGGCATCATGTCATAAAAAATATTGAATTTATGATGCTAAAAATAGAAGATAAATTATTGAAAGAGTAAAAAATTTTAAATATACAAAAAGTTATCATTTATTTTTTATTTTTACACTATAAATTTCCTTAACAGGCTATTTAGAATAGAAAAATGAAACTTACTTTTTGACTCANTAAAAAGTTATCATTTATTTTTCATTTTTACACTATAAATTACCTTAACAGGCTATTTAAAATATAACCCTTGATATAAGCAGCCAGTCCACAGCATCTTCAGAATATATTCAGGAAATTTCTTACATGCTTTTTCAATATTTTAGTACATACTTGTATCATGTCTACTTCATTTGTACGGATGTAATAGATAAGGAGGAAGAAT